TTCAAACGCACTCGTGAAAATCCGCAACGCAACCTCCATCGATCGATTTTTGAGGAAATCATCACTCCAAACAGGGACCTCGACTTTGTCCCGCTGTTTCAACTCTACTGTCTGGGCGCTAGACGTGCCTGAATGGGCACGATGCCCCTGGTCCTGGGAGTTTGCCGTGAAAGCATGCTTGAGAAGGTCGACCAGCTGACGCATCGAGTCTTGCTGATCTCCCCCCGCCGCCGCTCTCCCTCCCAGATTGTCTTGTTCTTCTGCATCGGCGGTGAACGAATAGTTGGTTCCTCCATCGCCGGTGCCTTCTCCCGGGGAAGGATCACCATGACCTTGTCCCCCCGGAGGCTGTCGTCCGTCTCCATCCGGCATCTTGCGCGCGTAGACACAGCGGCCACTCTCTTGATCGAAACGCTAGCGTGTTGAGTAGCTTTGTGCGTGGGTGCCTCGGCGCGGGGTCCCGTAGTGGGAAACAAAAGGTGCCAGCAGCTGGGTACTGCCAACGGTCAAAATGTAGAAACTATCCGCGGGCGTGAAAGCCCTTCTACGTGGTGGAGCGTGGAAGCTCGTGTATAATATAGTTGTGGCGTGGAAGCCGGGTGGCGTGGTGGCCCTGATGTAAAGGTATATGTAGGGACGTGGGAGTCCTGAAGGCGTGGAAGCCGGGTTGGCGTGATAGCCGGAGTATGGGCGTGGAAGCCGGGGTTGGCGTGAGAGCCGGAAAAAGGACTTGATTATACACAGAAAAAGGAAGTGAGGAACCACAAGCCACGCACACAAATTCCGTTGTAGACACCCATACCCTCAAACCTGCAATATGTGATAAAGTTGGTACCACCAAATCTAATCCATAGCAACCATTGAACCCCCAAACTCCCCGCTCCATCTGCTCGGGAAATTCTTGCTCGCAATAATCTGTTGATGCTGTGAGTACATCCAACAGCCAGTGCCTTTCAACCGGCCCCCTGGCTGAATATCTTTGGCGACAAGAACACGTCCGACGAACGCCGCCGCTGTTCGGGAAACACGGATGACGAAGAAGAACTGTTCCTCCTGCACTACAGGGTATGGATAGCACCAGCCGGGAACACCGTGCTTCTATTGGTGGCCATATTGAGCATGAACTCTATCAAATATGAACCTTACATTTTGCTATGGAAGTGGAACTGGCTTACATAGCTTGCGTCACAGTGGCACCGGTAGTGAATAATGTGATCCTCCAGCCGCTGAAATAGGTTTAGAAAGAAATTGATACAATAGACTGAACCGTAGCTCCTTGTATGCATACACTGGTAGATTATATATTTGTATGAAACGTACTAGAAGCAGTGAGGCGCGGAGTTTTTTTTTTTCATGGCAACGTATGTACCAACCACGTTGATCAGGTGGCTGAGGTCTACACATTCACCCACACCGCGCTAAAGGCGATGCCGTTCTGCCGCGCTGAGATTGAGCCGCTCATGATAGCTCGTGGCCACCCCCTGTCCTTCCTGGAGGAAGGTGACGACGACAGCATCGACACATCCACGCCGTGGGGGCTGGGCCGGGCCTACGCCAACGAGATATGGGACTATCTCGGCGCTAATGACGGTTGGAACGCCGACGGGAGTATGGGAGGCCGGGAATTCAACCGCGTCCCGTTCACGGGTGACTTTTCGATGACTGATTCGGCGGGAAATTCTTGGACGCCCTACACCCCCAGAAACAGCCCCTACGAGGCGAGACGTAGTAGATGGGCACCGTACCCGATGTTCAAGGTAGCTATTGTCTTGGCGTCCGTTGTAATTTACGTGGACCCTCGTCGTGTTGCTGGTTCCGCTCTGACTTCGTGCGACGTGGTTCTATCTCAGTCTACATCCCGCCTCAACAGCCAAGGAAGGATTTTTTTTGGTATGAGCTGCAACATAAATCTTTGGGAGCATAAGCGCGTCGCCAAAACCCTCAGCCAGGATGCATGCAAGCGGACACACTTCGACCTCTGCGTGGCAACGGCTTAGCTTAATGTTTCGTTTCGGGAAGGCTCGTAAACATACACGTCGATAACCTCTTTGCAGAGCAGACGAGCTCGTCGCTGGTGTGGCGAGCGGTGGTTCCATTATTCCGCCGACTCCCATCCATGCCACTGTGTTCCAAAGCCTCGGTTGTGAATGCTCGATGATGCACCAGTTCACGAACTTCAAGAAGTGGCAGCCTCTGGAAGAGTCGGACGGCCTCGGTTATGTTTCGACTCAAGAGCACGTAACGCCGCACATCGGGAGCACCGGCCGTTACTTCGGATTCTCTTCCAAGGAAGACGAGGAAGCCTTTAGCTCGCGCAAGATCGATGGACCGGATTACCTAAACAGGTAGGTCTCGGCCCATGTTGTTGTTGCCATTCCGTTGTCCCTACCTTGCCGGCTGCATTTTCCATGAACAGCCGTTCCTGGCTCCGTTTTACTGTGGGAGTTTGCGCCCTGTAAGAATTAAAACACTTCCTTGTACGACCGTGAACATTTTCTGGGATACGCGCACAACAGGTGCGCTGCGAGGACCCGACGCAAAGGATGCAGCATGTGGTATTAGTTTCCTACGTTGCATAGAGTCCTCCCGCTTCCAATCATTCTCACCCTCATACTTTCATACATCATGGTTACCTCCCGGTGGCCGCCCCGCCTGATGGGCTGGTGTCGATTTTTCCTCCAGGTGGCCGTAGTATTTCCATATCATAGAGGGCTAAACTACTGAAGCCGAAACCAAAGAAATACATAGCTGAGACGAATGGCTGCTTCTGTTGCCCAACCTGTAGTAGTTCACTGGTGCAAGATAAGACACTTACATGTAGACAGACTACTGTACACGCTTCGCTAGACCGCTTCTGGGATCATCCCAACGGTGAGTTGGAGTGTATTGCTTGTTCTGCAGGACTCGAACGGACCCTGGACACCAAGTTATTCTTTAGGCAGCTTTAGGGTCGCCTCTTGTTACAAGGAAATATCTTGGCTGTCACATAGCAGTCTTGCAAAACGTTAGGGGTCTACAGTACGCTAACCATTCCCCACCCCTCTACTGTAGAAACGATTACCCATTGTACACTCTCCAATCGAAGAACATGGACATTTTGCCGTCTCCTGGAAAGAGACGGGGGGGAACCATATGGGTATGCCTGTGTGCCTAGATGAACGCCAATCAACACAGTCGCGATGCCCGGCTTGCCTTGCGTCCTCACGGACACGAGAAGTTCTTGTTCGTGCAGCATGCACACCACATCGGTGCCATTTATGGCTCTGTCTTGAGGGAGGAACCGTTTGCACATGAGATCCTTTCTCACCCCCCCCCCTTCTCTCCCACGGCGTGTGATCACGGGCCCCACTGGTATTTGGGCCTCGTTCACCCCCGTTCCATCACGACGTTCGTGCGATGCCAACAGGTACGACCAGGCCGTCCGCGACGTGCTCGACGAGTCCGCCATTACCGCGGACTCACCCTACAAACAGTTCGCCGTGTCGTTTTTCGACAATAAGTTCACCTCCCTTATCCCTCTCAAGATCGCCTTCTTCAACCGGTGAGCCTTGTGGTTTTGCGGCACATCCGTTCGTATCCTCTAACAGCTACACTAAGGCGGTCAATTTTCCCCCGGTTCTGTTGTAGATACGGCCATAAGCTGCGTTTCAACGTGTCACTGTCGTTCTCCTACATGAAAGCTCATCTCGAGAAATTCAAAAGGTTCGTTGTTTACGGGGATTTGTCTTTGACGTTTCCACGTCAGGTTTGGTCCCAGTTAGCGTACGAATGTATGCTTTCGTAGGAGGGTGACACACTTTCAACACCAGCACCAATTGATAGCGAGGACGAGATGTGTTGAGAACTCAAGAAAGAGAGAGGAAGCACACATGCGATAGCGAAACAACAGAAACAAGCGTGTGCACTTTTTGTTGAACCTTGGTCCAATCTCATAGAGGGCATGTCGGCACTGCGCTCACACCGCGGCCCGTCCCGCGCCTCCTCGAAACAGGGGAACGACCAAGGAAGACTACACAGAAACTGACTTCTACCAGGTCACTGTCGAGGTTCAACTCGCCATTTACAATGGCATCCTACTGGCCTGGAAGGAGAAGGTGTGGGTTGTACATTCAAAAATGGGCGGGGCAAACACCGCATCATCCCGTTTTCCCCAATCAACCATCGATTCGGTTGACTAAAGCCTCCGACTTTTGAGGCCAGCAGTGTCTCGCCGTGATACCGATCGATTCCTGAGAGCAAGACTTGACGGAGTGGTCGTCATTCCGCGGATCAGAGGATAGAACGCGGTGGATTGATGTCGCTGTCTGTGCAAACTACAGAATTATCGAGACGAAAATGAATGACAAGCGTCCGCGGAGAAATCTACGGTGATCCGAACCGACAGGGTCGAGATTTCCCGAATGTTCCCCGAGGGCGGGAGTCGCGCGTGTCTGCTCACCGTGAAAGCCTTCGACGGAAAGGTTTTCGTCGTATTGTCGATAAAAGGTCCACATAGACTATACATGCAAAGCGACGAAAACGAACTTAGAGGGCGCCCGGTACTTTGCTTGTTCAGCAACGCGACCGTGCACGTAACCCGTGCCATCATTGGCTTACGTTTCCTTCGCCCGGATGCTCCTCTCGCGCCAACATATTCCACGGATGCCATCATGGCGTTACCGTAGATCAACCACGATCGACCCCGCCCACCCAGCATGATCAGGTGAGAACGTCGTCGGAGCCTCGGGTTTTCGAGGCCTGTGTGTGTGCTATCTTCCATGACCGGTTTGATTGACGTTGTTCAGTTCAAACAGAGCATGACGTGTGTAAGCTCATAAGATACCAAGGATGTGTTGTGATCTTTGGCCCGTGCCTTGCCTCATGCGTCGTGTTTCTTCTCTCCCAGATCTGTTTCCTATCACAACAGACCCAACCATGAAGTGGCAAGATAAACGTTGCAGACCCTTTGTATGTACCAATCGTAATCCCGTCGGAGTACTTCACCATCGAGGGTTGCTAACATCTGAGAACATAGTCTTGAAGTTAACAATTCGATTTCAGGAGAAAACAAAGTTTTACTGTCCTGCTTACGAATTTGTGCCATCCTACGAAGGGGTCTTTTCAAATGAATCATACTCTTCCAAGTTTCGAAATTGAGAGTGGCACCGGGGTGTCGAAATGGGCATGCTTGAAACGAGTTTCGAGATCATTCCATATAATTGCCAGACTTTCTAGCTTGATATTACGTTTCACTTGGACCACTTCCGTCCGGAACAAGCATGCACGGATGATATTGCCTTCTGCTCTTCTCAATCTATCGTGGACATCGAGGTGTATCGACACGAAAACCAAAGTAACCTTGAACGAGCATGAACGAGTGCAACGAAACGCGAAACTCCCATATGTAGGCACCTGCTCGGTGATGAACTGGTGGAGGCCTACGCCGGACCGGATCAGGGCGTCCAAACAATGAAGGCATCAGAATGGGAGCCGTTCATCAGGACCATGCCTCACTCCGAGTACCCCTCGGCCTCTGCGTGCCTTTGCGAGGTACGAGGTTTGATCTGTTTGAGGTTGTCTTTGTTTCATTTCGTTTGGAAGGACCTATTTATCTATCCCCCGGTGTCAATTGTGTTTGCGGGATGAGCAAATGTCGTCGATCTGGTACTGACGGAAACATGCCGCCTTGTATTGTACTCACGATTTGAATCGTTTCAGTTCGGAGGGTGGCAAGCGATTGTTAGTAAGAAGTGCTACGTCGAATGTATGCTGGAGGCACGCCTCCATTTTCCGATAAGAAGACGATACTTGCTTCAGAATATTTGAAGCAACCGTCAATTAACGCATCTCACAAAACGTTGTGACAATAAACTCCTGTAACATTCAACCAGTCAAAATGAATGTGGTTGTCTCAAATTCCTTCCTCCTTCCGCGCTGTTGGATCGTCCCCTGTCTCCCGCGGAATGCCAGGGGTTTGCACGGCAAGTCGAGAACTTTCTTGGCGACGACAAGATCGAGCCCGCTCTCGAGTTCCCCCCGGGTCCTCCGCCCGCAGGCTTGAACGCGTCCCTGGAATTCGCTTCCTGGTCTGAGATTTCCCAAGTCTGTGGCGACAGTCGCATTTGGGGTGGCATGCACTTCGCGGTCAGTGCACATTTTTGTTCGGATGATACTCGTTGTTCATAAACAAATACGCTCTGTTGGAGTCGTCAACCACCGCACGATTCAATATGTGCCGGCCCTGCGCTTTTCGGTGAGTCTCCCACTCACACCCGCCCGCCTGGGTGTGATACGATTTCTCAACATGAGTCATGCATTCACTATGTAGCGACAGGTGTGAAATCCGCCACCTGCAACAAGCCGAAAATCGTTGTTGTTGGGACGGACGGGTGTTGAAGGTCACCACTCCACTTGTTGTTGTCCTGCGTCAGGGAGCCGTTCTAGCGGGAGCCGAGCTGTGCGGAGGCGAAGACATGGCCAAGTCGATCCATGACTCCTTTGAGCGTCTCAAAGCAGGAGACGAGAGCGCCGCCATCTTCAAGAGCGACGTCGGCGAGCTGATGGTGCGGCCCCGCTAGCATGGCACGTGCGCACGTACAGTTGAATTGTTGGGAAAAACGGAGAGTGGGCAGGTGGCGCTCTCTCTCTCTCTCTCTCTCTCTCTCTCTCTCTCTCTCTCTGTATGTGTTCCCAGCGAGGAATCAGAGATCGCTTCTCAATTTGTTTGCTGCTCTAGCACGGCACATGCACGTAGTTCGAAGGTTAGATGGTTGGGAAAAACGGAGAGAGGGTAGGTGGTACACTCTCTCTGTCGGTTCGAGAGGAGGGTTATCGGAGGTCGCTTCCCGAGGCATCATCGAAGTCACCTCTTGAGAGGTGTCCCGTGTTTGTAAGTTGCGGAAACACTTATCAGAGTATTATCTGCAGTGGTCTTCTAATATTGTCCGTGATAATTTCTTTTGTGAAGTCATTACTGCTGTATATCGACGTTACACGTTTCATTCAAACGCTTCCTTTCGCACACTCTTATCGATTCGGGACGTTCATGCGGGGATATGTTTGTGTACAGAACTGCTCCTGTGGTCGAGCAGGTTGTAAGTGATGAGATTCTCTATCTGGAGTGAAAAATTGTCTACTATTTGCGGTGGAAAACGCTTCACTCGTTCGTGAGTTTACGCACGGTCGAGGAGGGAAGGAGAGGCTGAACTCTTTTCTTCTCGCGACAGCAGCTAAATCAAATACCGCAGGAGGCAAAGTGGGGCATTCAAGCCAACGTCAAGTGAAACTTTCCGTGTGATCCCGTTCTTTCGTTCTTTTCTTTCTCGCTTTCCTTCTTTCTTTCTTTCTTTCTTTCTTTCTTTCTTTCTCTCTTTCTCTCTCATTCATCATTATTTTATACCTTCGTTCTATCTTTCTATAATTCTATCTTTTGGCTGCCTGTTTATGGTATTGCTTGGTTTCATACTGATTGGTTGGGCTCCGAGCGCAGATTGTCATGGTACCTGCTGGTTGCAGTGCTGCCAAATCATGGTCGGGTGGGGTGCTCGATTCCATGACTCCTGCCGCTCAATATAGGCAGTGTTTCTAACACGAGGACATCTTGAACCGATAAGTACGTTTCTTTGATAGGTTCGATTTGGTATTTTAATGTAAAACAATATCTCGACTAGGGTGCTTTTGAATATCGGTTCGTGTGTGTGGATGTCCACATTTTGTTGTAGGAGCGTTTGTGGGGGGTTTCGCTTCATCTAATGCTATGAATTTTGGAGGAAGGGTTTGGCACGTTTCGATGAACTATTCGATATTACGAGGCTTCAGCGATTCCGAAGGATATACGCATTGTTAGTCGATAATATGGTTTGAGGAACCTATTCGGATGCCTTAGGGTACTTTCTGACAGCAATTTCGATGCATTGAAGGCTGGGTATGGAATATTATGGACGGAGCAGCGGCGGATTGGCAATGGGTTGACAGCCAGTTGTGAATTTACCTTCCAAGAGGGATATTTGGTTAGTGACACGTTAACATCGCAGTATTGTGAGTATCTTGTCGTTTTCCCGGGCGATACGTGAAGAGTTCCCTACATATTGTACATGTAGACCGTTTCGAGTACTGAGTAGTAGGGGTTTGGGGGACACTGTTTACAGGGATCTGGAGATCAAGACTACACCTGGATGCATTTGTGTGTGCGTTGTGCAGAGGGTCCCCTGGCAGGGCTCTCGCTCTCTCCCCCACTCTCCAAAAAGTATGGCAAGGCCCTGGGGTCAACTATCTATGCAGAACCTTTTATCTGCCCTTCTGACAACAAGCAGTCTGCCTCCAAGAAGCGGGTAGAAGGCCGCCGGAATGAACAAGACGGAAAACGCACACATGCAACGCGAAAACTTCGTCGCCCCTTACAATGGAAACCCCTAGTGATTGAATGTGCGCCTCGATCGACTGATCGGGAGATCGGAGGAGAGAGAGAGAGAGGGAGGACAAACCCCACGGGGAAGCTCGTGGGGGCTGAATGACCTTTTCATGTGAGGAAAGTCCAACGTGGGGCTTAGATTGGGTGGAGAACGAATACCTCGCATGTACAGAAACAGGGCAGTTGAATCGTTGTGAATCTTCTCCGCTAGGTAGAATCGGAGACAGACACGACACAAACAAAGGTGGTGAATGCAGGCACCACTAAAACACATCCCGAAGGTGGTGATTCCAGGCATTACAAACATACCCACAAAAGGTGGGGAAAACAGGGACGGACGGACGTGGATGACACTCCGAAACAAACGCACGTCCAAAGTAGCATCATCGGCAAACACCGTACATATTTTTCTGTAATCCGGAGGGTAACAGGGTCCTAGATCATGGCCTTTGAGAGTCATGTTTGGTGTTCAACCGCACTGAGACTGACGTGTTTTTACCTATATAGAACTATTGATATTTGTCTTTTTTCTAACTTTCTTCCGTTCCACCATTTTACACTTCCGCGTGGGTCCCTGACAGGTCAGCATTTCCATTTTTCGGGCGCTTACAGGCCGCCATTTTCTCCGCCCCGTTTCACTTGGATTCAGAGTTCTAACCTGTGACCACGGGAATCGACCGCGTCGAGTGTTGGATCAGTACGGGCATACGATGGTACTGGGTAGAGAGAGAGATCGGAACGGTTTTTAATGTGAAGACAACAACAACAAATTTCGGGGTTTCTTCCGATCAATCTCGGGCTGTGTCCGCGAGTCTGTCCGTGTCCAAACACCCCCACTCGCTCCACACGTTCCCACGCTGGCCGTGCACAGCACACTCGTCTCTTCTGTCAGCAGCACTCAGCTCCTACTCCTCCTACGCCTCTCCTGCCGCGAAGCGAAACGTAGCCTGGTGCAGCAGCTGTTCGATTTTCTTCGAGCGCCAGAATCCGTCGTCGGCTACTCTCTTCTTCTTTACGGGGTATGCATCGTGTATAGACAGGCCTGCCAGTTCCAGATTTCTGACAGTCTTCTCGACTCTTCTTCTTTCCGGGGTATTGTTGTGCTTGTTGTCTGCACATTAAAAACCGTCCCGCTCTCTCTGCCAGTACCAACAACCTCTGTCGGTACTAGTAGTCTCATGCATAGACAGGCCTCTCAGTATCAGTTTGTTTTTCCGTTTTTCCTGCTGCTGACAGCCCTCTCGGCTCTTCTTTCCATGGCATGCATGCCCACTAATAGTCCACAAATGGTCTTCAGGGGTACGCAGCATGTATATGCATAACTTTCATGCCCTGCCCAAAAATAGCATTGGTCCGCAGTTCTCTCCTCACTACGTACCTCCCACATTACGCGCTCGACAGCCTCACTCCACACACACAGCCTCACTGGTGCACTAGTAGAGTGTGACGACGTGCTTTCGACAAACACATGGGCAGGAAGTAGAGGCAGTGCAATCCATTCTTCTTTAGAAAGCACTGTGCATGTATGTGGTCGTTCAAGTGAAACGAAATTTAATGGGTGGATGGGTGATGATACGCCTTCGGGAAGTAGTATAGTCATGTGGATCTGTTTTCTTTCCGCGGCCCATCCAACATCTCCAAATTGATTCCATCTTCTTTTTTTCCGCTTCAACTTTCATTAGGAAGTAAACATATGCTCACAGAAAGACTACTACCCGTTCGACTTGCTCATGTCTGGTGATACTACGCGAACGAGTGAGTACGTTGTTTGTCCGAGCTTTCTCATCTATCTCCCAGCCCAACGCCAACGTTCGCCTGCCCACCAACAACCCATTGTACACGCCAAGATGTGTGCGAGTGTCCAGTTCGTGGATTCCATGCGGACGCATCCCTTCGCACCCCTTCGGTCTACCGCACGAAAGCAAGAGGAACGATAAGTAGATCAACAAGCCTTGCATAAGTATCCCTTTTCTTCTTGTCCCTGTTGAGCTCATTCACCCTCCCTTGCTAGCCTCAAGTAAACAGCTTAAAAACGCCAAATGTACACCCAAGGATTGCAACAATATGGAGATAGACACTTCTCTCTGGGTCATCTACTGTGCAGCCAAAAACCGCCACCAGCACACACCTTGCATACTCCATGGAGTATGTATCTATCAAGCACACAAACAATCGTCATTTCATCTATATTGATTTTGTGGACTGCCGTGTGCCCACGGCTGCTTCCCCATGATTTCAGTTTCATCATGTAAGTCCGCTTGTTTGTGTCTTGGTGCGACATGTATGGAAATCCGATGACACGGATCACTCGATCTGAGAGTTGATTCGTGTGATACGAATCACTCGATCTAAGAGGTGATTTCGGGTACACGAATCACTTGTTTCCTAGAGTTGACATTTGTGACATTTTTCACTTGAATGTTGAATTTATTTCGATGACATTTTTCACTTCATTAAAGTATCGAAATCCCGGACATTTTCACTCGATTAATGTATTGCTTTCGATCACATTTTTCACTTGAATAATGTATTGATCTCGATCACATCTTTCACATGATCAACGTACAATTCGTATGGAATTTTCGGACAAACAAGTGTTAGGATGATCCGAGCTGGGGGTAGCTTGTCGCAAGACGTGTGTTGAATAGGGTGTCGGCAACTCGGCGAACTCGCGCCAAGGAGGAAAGAATGTGCTGGGTTTGTTGTATAGACTTCTTCTTCACATGAAAAACATGGACTCACATGAACACATGAACACATGAACACATGGACACATGGACAGACATGAACTGCACGCACGCGTGCACGCACCACCATGAGGGGGCGACGCAGTATACAACAGGGGTACCTTGCACACCCTGGAAATACATTCCACGTACCACACAATCCTACAACCACTTGGCATTGCTACAAGTATATCTATCAGCCCCCCTGCTTGTGACCATGCCATGTCTTTTTCGATCCTCAAGAACTCCAAAACACCAGAAAATAAACTCAGAAACTCAACTCAACTCCAGAACAATAGCCTCACTGGCTAGACATCAATTCCCATCCCCGGTCATATCAGATATAATTTTTCGAGCTTCAGTGAACTAATTGCCCCCCAGCCTAGCACCATTCTTTGAGAAAATCCATAGGCAAAAATGCAAAATGTTGCCACCCTAGTTG